GATGGAGGGGCTGGAGGCAGAAGCCCCTACGTCAGGGGTTCTCACAACACATTTTTGGTGGCATCAGAATGCAACCACCAACTCTTGCTGGTGGCCACTCTGAGACAATTTTTCCTAAAATACTTAATTAACTTTACGAAAAACAAATAAATACACACATATACATGTCCTTAATCACTGTAATTTATTTATGTAGGGTTTTTATTTTTTATTTTTTTGCATACTCAGTAATAAAAATAATGTACAGTTGTCTCTATTCTTTACTGGACCTAGAAAGAATAGAAACACAAAAAAGGTACTTTGCGTGTTCTTATCTTTGTTGTTGTTCCTTTTGCTTTTTGGGTGCTTTTTTTTAGACTTGCTGGCTAGTGAGTCTGCTGCCGTGAAAAGATACTTGTATGTTTAATATCACTTTTAAGGGCCTCCCAGCTAGCTACTAAGTCTGCTGTGAAAAGTGGCATTAACACACAAACAAATATCACTTTTCACAGCAGACTTAGTCCCAGAAAGCCCAGGGACAAATTAAGCCCTGGATGGGGAGATGGGTGGGGAGGCAGCAGGAGCCAGGGACAATTATGGGGGTGTGCCTGGGGCCCAAGCCTGCTGCCAAAGCCCAGGGCCTGAGAAGGCAGCAGGGGACGGGGGGAGCGTCCGGAGCCCCACGGCAGGAGCCTGCCACCTGCCATCCCAGGGCTGAAGCTTAACCCCATGGCCCCCGGGAAGATGGGGAACCTTACTGGCTGCCTGCTCCTCCAGCGTTTGTGTCTCCAGAGTGGGGCAAGGCCCAACACCTGCTGGTGGCCCCAGGGGAGAGGCCACTGCTTTGCCCTCCCCCCATCATCACCCAGTAGGCTGTAATTGCAAGAAAAGCCCATGGTGGCCACATCTGAGAACTGCTGCTGTAGGTGGTTGGAACAGGAGCTTCTTTTCCTTGCATGTCCCCAGAAATTCCATGGTTCTGAAGACATGCCATCTGCCTCCTCTGAGCACCAATAAATCCCTCCCTCTCAAGGTTAAGATGAATGGGGAATTCTGTAAGGTGAATTTCAATGATGTTTCCTGGGCCCTTTCTCCCATCCCAGGAAGATACAATATGATCCAATGATGGGGCTTGATTTTGCAGTCTTTGAGAGGTGAAATCAATGGGATTTTTGCCTGCCTAAATATTCCATAACCTCACCATTAATTTTCAAGTTTCAGAGTAGCAGCCGTGTTAGTCTGTATTCACAAAGAGAAGAGTGAGCTGTAGCTCACGAAAGCTTATGCTCAAATAAATTTGTTAATCTCTAAGGTGGCACAAGTACTCCTTTTCTTTTTATTAATTTTCAAATTATTCCCAACTTGTTTAACATTACCCCCTTGAGATTTTTCTCTGAAAATTCCAGGTGTTTTTGTGTGTGTGAATTGTTTGAGTATGACACATCCGCTGAACTAGAAAAAAACAATCACAAAGTGACACAGACTATTGGAGGATGGGAAGGATTATTTCCCTGCATGTGCAACATCAATGTTATTTACTAAGCTCAAATCAGTTATAGATGTGCAAACTTACTGAAGAATCAAAGATACCGAAGGCCTAATTTAGCCTACAAAACTTTTAAAAATATTTATTTATTATTGATGTGTGAGGAAAAATGAGACAGATTCCAGGCTGAATTTGCTGAGCTATTAGAAAAAAATTTTTTTTAAGTTATAACATGAGCACATTTGAAACTGTATCACTGACAGGCAAATAGCAGTTGAGCTGTTCAAATTCCCCCTTTATCCCTCCACCCCACCTCAAAAAAAATTAGTTGTTTTTTTGGTCAAAATATTTTGTCATTTTTACAGAATCACATTTTAGAGTAGAATTTTTTAAGAGTATTTTAGTTCTGTTCATCACTTTTTCTTTGGAAACAGATTGGTTACATTTTATAGGCTCTTGGGAGAGGGACTCTCTCATTCAGTATTTTTACAACATATTCAGCATAAGACTCTTGATTCTGTTTTGGACCTTTAGGCTACCAGAATACTACTAGGGATTCTTATGGAACTGTTCCATAGTTAATTTTGAAGCAGGACTTTAGGAGTAGGAAAATTTTTCAAACTTTATTTTATTTATTTAGCCTTACATAAAATACTTTAAAAAATAAATACCTATCTCATGCTCTATGCACCTTTTTATGAAAAATGCTTCCAAAAAACTCCAAAGAAGATATTTACTTTACTTTTTGAATATTTTCTGTAAGAGCTTCTAATTTCACACGAGCATATTGAGACGTCTACATCTTTAAGGTGCAGATGGAGTAATGAATGTTTTAGAACTGCAGTGATGCACAACACACATTTGAAATTACAATCTGTCCCTAAGGGTAGCTGGCTATTTTATTATTTTTTCCTTTCTTGCAGTGAACATCAGCAGCAGATGGATGAACTAAGAAATGAGTTAAAGCGAGTGTCAGAGAAGGCTTGCATTCTTAAAATAAAATTAGAAAAAGAAAACGTTTTCAAACAGGTGAGAGCACTGAAACTGCATGGATTCCTAGAAATAGGATATCTATTCATTCATCTAATCTATTAGTCATTGCAGGTTTGTTCCCTATGGTGCATTTCTCTTTTCAATCAACTTTTAGCATGTCCAGATGAGGGTATCCCACCACTTCGCTTGGGAGACTAGCCTACTTTATTAAAAATGTCTGGATTTTTCTTCTCATTTACTTTATTTTCCTTTTCTTAATTTCATCCTACTGCTGTAAACCTATAGACTATACTAAATACCTGTCCTTTTCTCACTCCCTTGATCATCATTGTCACCAACTTCGCTGAAGAAAAGCTGAGTGCTGTATTAGGCTGTGAAAAGTGTACACAAGAATACAAAAAACGGAATCAGTATATTAAGGTCCTTGCATCCTTTGAAGTCAGTGACAAAACTCCCTTTGATTTCTATAGACATAGAATCAAATACATAATGAGATAAATAGCATAATTCCCCATTTTCCTGACAGCAATTCCCGGATTCAGTTAATGCTGACTTTGTACAGCAAAATGAGGAAAAGTTGATGATTAACAGTCAGGAAGACTGTAGTTGAATGTTTCTGCTAAACCAGTACAGCTTGTTTCATGTGCGGGGGTTGGTTTTGCGATACTGATGCAAAGGACAGCTTTGATAGTGTAGCTGAGTCCACACTAGGAGCACTTTACTGATATAGGATACTAGTATTCTCATACCGGTAAAGTGCTTCTAGTGAGGCCAAACATATTAAAATAATCTTGCTGGCTCAGAGACTTTTTTGTTCCATAAGAAGAGTAGTCTTTTGAGCCTATGCAAGGAAAACAGACTAATATTTTTCCATTTTTTATTTTATTCTTTATTTTGCTGGACAAAAAGTAATGCCTTTCAATTTGCAATACTATTCAAAAACTTGAATGAGTCTTCTGAATTTGTATGTATTATTTAGTATTCTAGTAGCACCCTGAAGCCCCCATCAAGACTGGGGTCTCATTGTGCTAGGTACTGTACAAATATATATATGAAGATACAGTTCATGTAACAAAGAGCCTATTATTTTAAGATTAAAATTCAGAGGTAATCCAAATAAAGTACATACAACTAAATGTCCCAAGAGGGATTTCAAGTTCTGTTGCTTAGGTGTACTTACCCAAAAATAATATGGATGTGTTATCTTTAGTAGCGCTCTGAGAATAGGAGAGTCAGTTGCCTAATGCATAAATCAAGCAGTCCTCACCTACATCTTTTTTCTCATCTCCTACACCTTCCTCCATACACTGAATCCATGACTACTCCCGTAATCTTCACTTCTTTCTACTACCATTTAAGCCCTGAACAGCCTCCTAGTCAATGCTAGCAAAGCACTCTTCCTTCCAAAACCTTAAGATACACACACATAATATTTGTGAAGCTTTCTAGTCATTGAGACCACATCCCACCTTTTTATTACACAGACTTCTACTTTTACGTTAAACTTCTCAGGAAAAAACCTCATTTGTTCAGAATAGTTTAGCCACTGTACAGTGCTGAATACCTCTGTACTGTATCAGTCCCGTTATAAAATATTTAATCCTTATGCAAACTTCATAAAACGGAATTATGGAAATGATCAGTTAAAGTAATTTAAGTATTCCAGTACTCTGACAGTTTGTACATGCAGTTAATGACACTATTGTCATTTAATAATGTACTGTATGCATTTCACAAGCCACCTTGTCTGACAAGCAGTAGGTACAAACTCAGCATATCCATCACTATTCATGCATTCAAAATTATATACATATTGATAATGGATATGCTAAAAGATCCTTAGCAAGTTTTGTATATCAGAGTCAAGGATGTCTGTAAAATGTGGAAGGTGAATTTTTACATGTCACTTTTACAGTTTAAACTAATTGCTTGTTGTTTGTGAGTAATTTTAACTGAGTTTTCCCCTACAGTTTCACAACACTGAAAGTCAATAAGACTTAGGCTCCTTTGTGCCTGTGTCACTTTTGAAAATGGGACTTATGCACTATTGAGAATTTTACCCTGGCTCTTATTAAAGACTAAAATATTAATATTCTTTCCCAAGGAAAACTCCCATCTCTAATGCAGTTTTAACAAATATATTTAAAACTTTCTGTTCTTACATATTTGCACAATTAGTTTACTATGGGAAATAATTAGCTCACAGAATTCCATTTTAAACTCATTCTTGTACTGATGTTAATTTACATCCAACAAAGCCAAAATCTCAATTTTAATACATTTATAGTCAATACAATTTCAGAATTTTTAAAATAAAATATAACTTACTACATCATTTTCTCAACCCTCTTTTCCATTAAAGTGAGTAAACATGATTGAAAGGTCAGAATTCTATGCATAGTTATAACATTTACAGTGATTTGACAGACTAAGTCAAGCTACTACAAAGTAAGACAGGTTAGTCAATGTCCAATTATTTATAAGCTACCCCTTTTCTACCAGGAGAATACTTTCAAAGAACATGACCAAAAAAACTCAGATGTGAAATTTAACTATGTCTTTATTACAAATTAATGAGATTTAAAGGTTCTAATTAATGTTCAACTGACAGTGTTTTCCAATCCAGTCTTGATTAGGAAAGTAGAAGCCTGATTTAACAGACATTTTAAAAAAAGCTTTATTCTTTTAAGAGACTACTGCTCCAGTTAAAATTCTTTATTGATACAAGAAAGATTGATACTCCAATAGTAAAATAATTAAACCCATCAGGAACAAAGCATGTGGGCAGAAACTGAACATTTGATGTAAAGTTTTCTAACAATCTTAATGTACATCCTAGTCCTCAGTTTCCTTTCTGTTTCTGCAGCAGAGGGAGTCCCATCCAAATTCCAGTTAATCCCTCATCTGGTGCATTGGCATGTTGAGAAAAGTTTCTCAGAAACGTGTACTGGTTCAAATGTAGTTCAAAGAGTTTTTCATTCACCCCTTCACTGTGGGCTGTTTTTTTCCTTTCCCTCTCCCAGAGCAGCTACATATAATCTTACTGAGCAAGCAGTAGCAAAAATGCTTCACTACACTGTCCCCCAGGAGCCAGGGCCCTATCTCCTATGCTCCTAACCTTGCCATTGTACACAGCAAGAGTCCAGAGGTTATTCTAAAATCCAGGGCTCAAGTATACCAGCCACTTAGACTACTAACCAAACTGAGGTTAGCAATAGCTTGTTGTAACGGTTTTGTCTAAACCTTAGCAATTCTGTTCACCACAAGTTGCCTAAGTACTAACTCTAGCAAATGCACTAAAAAATATAAACATATTAATGAAGCTTGCAATGGAAATTGATGTTGAAGATCTCTATAGAAACATGAATTAAAACTACCAAAAATCCATTATGCTACTTATTCCTACACACGGAGAATTCATCTGCCACACACTTTTTTTTTCTCAGTTGAAAATACATTCTGCTGAAAAATCCTGCACGTACACTTTTCGCCTACCCAGAGCCACTGTGCGCCAGGACAGAGAGCATCTGCTCCTGGGCGGGAGCAGCCCCAGCTGCGGATAGGGAAGAGAAGAAGCTGCATTCCTCACAGTGCCCTCTCCGTGGGACCAGCTCAGGAGGCCCAGGATATGGGGACCAGACAACATGGGGCATAAGGGGCTGTTGTGGGGAGTCACAGACTGAATGAGTGAATCTAGGGGTTAGCCAGTATCTGCATGGGGAAGGCTCCCTAACAACCCCTCCCTGACCAGAAAACCTCCATTCCATACTTTTCCCACCCACACCCAACAACCCTCCAAGTTCACACCCAAGCTCCTTCCCAGCAATTACTTTCCCCTCCCTCAGCTCCTCCATTACCCCGACTCCTCCCAAACCTTTGCACCGCTTCTGAGGGGGGCGGGAAATACATTTCTGTAGGTTAAATGAATTACTGAAAGTTATGTATTCATATGCCTGGTAAGGAATCTATTTGTCAAAAAGTATTTCCTGAATCTTTGCTGTTGTCTGTATTGTTACAAACATACTTGCTGACAGGTCTTTTGAAAGAAATTACCAAAATAATTGAAACCGGCGTGATTATATTGTGTTATTGCAATATTGTGCACAGAATTTTTAATTTTTTGGCACAGAATTCCCCCAGGAACAGCTAGTATAAGTATGCAAGTTTAACTAGCTTGGGTGCTGCTGTGGGTTTTTGTTTTTAAGAAACAGGCTACTTAATTGAAATGATTTATTAATACACAGCTATCAGTATTTTTCCTTTTCTGTAGTACATTAGAACTGTATGATCTGTTCTAACATTGAAGGGTTCAACACAGCATATAAGAGCATTCCAAAAAGAACTACAGCCTGAACTGAAAATGATTCTGTGTTAATCAAATCTAATATTAATGTGAGTGAGTCCCGAAAGAGGAATCTGAAGCTTTACTTAACTTTACTTCCCAGAAAAGTATGACTTTAGTACAGAGCTCACAAAAGTAAATAGATTTGAAGACAAAATGTATTTTGTTAATAGTCTTTATGCAATTGTGGTTCTCAATGTACCTCAGATTTTATGGGGAAATGCCGATTTAACGCCTGAAGTGCAGCAGGAACAATCAAGGTAGCAGTTAACTCATCCATCTCCATGATGATACAATGAAATGGGCAGCTTTCTTCTTGTTTCCTATTTTGTGGGATTATCAATAGAAAACCCCATCTATTTACTGGCAACACAGATGTTTCCTATCCACTCTGTGATGCATTGTTGCTGTGTTAAAATCAGGCTGAATTTTCTCACAAAAGTTCAAAAAGAAATTGCACTGAAACACGGGAAGTTTAGATGTAGCTGTTAAAATACATAATTACTAGAATTTGATACGCTATTATACCTGCCTGGAAGTGTGGCTGTGCTAACTTAGCTCACTAGGCCCTAGAGAGATGTTGATAAAAAATGAGCATCCTTAACCGTGCTTGGCTGGAAGATACATAGGGCCTAAAGCATGTGCATTATAAATCAGAATAAAACATGTGGTCCTCCGGCCTCTGATGAGGAAAAGCTCCCAGAATGGTGGTGGGGAAAACGGCTTATACTTTCTTGAAAACAACATTAGAATAAAGGACAAATAAACACTGGTAACAGCATTTATCTGCTTACAACTCCAGTTGAATGTACCTTCCTTCACAGTGCTAATCTTGTTTCTTAAGATAGTCACCTTTTTATAACAAAGGCCTGAAGTCTTTCATTTTTCTTTGCGGTAGCGGAAGCACTAATTTTACCAAAAAGCAGCCAAAAAATGAAGTATTTTAAGGGCTCTTCAATATATAATTTTTGGAGGCCTCTGCTAGAAATGCTTCAGTTTTTCTTCTCAACACCCCCTCTCAAAGGCCTCATATCAAGTCAATTCTTTCTCCAGTAAGGAGGACTGGACACTGCTACCTATAGAATTCATCAGCACTATTCCTTCAAGTGACCAAAGTGAGCTGCTAGAGATGCAACACATTGGCTTACCCAGTTGCCTCTACAAAACTCCCCCCAGCCTGAGATCTCACAATTGCCAATAGTTTGCTGGGCAGGGCCACAAATGTACAACTTTAAGTGAATCAAGCATGCTACTAAAGTTTGGGTAAATTATTTCGTTATCTGTTCACCCGTTACCAGCAGCGAGATACCTGATACAGTCCTAACAGTGTTCTTCTACAATTTTCAGAATATCAAAAGGATTATTGATAAGTATAGTTCAATCACTGAATTTTATCCAGATGCATCACAGATCCTGTTTATCTCCACCTGTCACAGTGGAGTCAGAGGTAACGGGAACCTTATTCATTTCAACGAAAACGGATTCAAAGGCAGCTTCTTGCTCTTCTAAAGTATCCGCATCAGTGGCTCCTCTAACAGGTGTTGTGTTGGTAAAAGCCGGCTGCTGCTCTGTAATAATTTCCAGCTCCACTGTTTTCCGACCTCTTCTTTTACCCAATATTTTGATGTAATTAGCTGGCACAAGTCCTGTTGTTTGACCATCACGACTAGCCAAAAGCCAGCCACGTACTTTGGGTTGTTGTTCTGATAAGAAAAATAAGCCATAGTTATAAAGTAATTCAAAATTGTATAACAGTTATACCATTTAAACACTTTCCTAGAATTTGAGATCAGACATTATACAGCCATCTAATTCAAAGCTCAGCAGAAACATGGAGAATACTTGAAACCTACAATTAGTGCTATTAAGTCAACAACTAGTCACATGACAAGCCAGATAACTGATCATGTGGTGTTTAAAGTGCTAATGTTTATATATTAAAATTAGGGCCCTACCAAATTCACTGTCCATTTTGGTCAATTTCACGGTCATATGATTTTAAAAATTGTAAATGTCATGATTTCAGCTATTTAAATCTGAAATGTTAGTGTTGTAATTGTATGGGTCCTGACTCAAAAAGGAGGTGTGTGTGTGTGTGAGCAGGGTCGCAAGGTTATTGGAGGGGGGGTTGCAGTTCCGCTACCCTTACTTCTGCAATGCTGCTGGCGGCAGCGCTGCCTTCAGAGCTGGGTGGCTGCTGGCTGGGAGTCCAGCTCTGAAGGCAGAGCCACCACCAGCACCAGTGCAGAAGTAAGAATGGCATGGTATTGCCACCTTTACTTCTGCGCTGCCTTCAAAACTGGGTGCCCAGCCAACAGCCACTTCTCTCTGGCTGCCCAGCTTTGAAGGCAGCACAGAAGGGTGGCAATACTGCAACCCCCCCTAAAATAACCTTGAAGCAACCCCCTGCAACTCCCTTTTGGTTCAAGACCCCCAATTTGAGAAACACTGATCTCCCCCATGAAGTCTGTATAGTATAGGGTAAAAGCACGCAAAAGACCAAATTTCATGGGGGGGGGGGGGCGGGGGGAACAGATTTTACAGTCCATGATGCGTTTTTCGTGGCTGAGAATTTGGTAGGGCCCTAATTAAAATATATCCAAAAAAAGTAGGGCTGTCAATAGCAGATAACTCAAGCGATTAAAAACAAATTAACTTGATTAAAAAATAAATCACGATTAATGGCAGTTTTAATTGCACTGTTAAACAATAATAGAATGCCAACTGAAAATTTATTAAAATATTTCTGGATGTTTTTCTACATTTTCAAATATATTGATTTCAATTACAACAGAATACAAATTGCACAGTGCTCACTTTATATTATTTTTATTACAAATATTTGCACAGTAAAAAAGAAAAAATAGTATTTTTCAATTCACCTCATACAAGCATTGTAGTGCAATCTCTTTATTATGAAAGTTCAACTTACAAATGTAGTTTTTTTGTTGTTGTTGTTGTTACATAACTGTACTCAAAAAGAAAATAATGTAAAACTTCAGAGCTTACAAGTCCACTCAGTCCTACTTCTTTTTTAGCCAATTGTGAAGACAAACAAGATTGTTTACGTAAGGGCAGGTCTTCACTACCTGCCGCATCGGCGGGCAGCGATTGATCTATCGGGGATCAATTTATCACATCTCGTCTAGATGCGATAAATTGATGGGGGAGCAGTAGCAGTCGACTCGGTGCCATCCTCACGGCCAGGTAAGTCGACCTAAGATACGCCGACTTCAGCTACGCTATTGGTGGAGCTGAAGTTGCATAGATTAGGTCAACCCTCCCCACCCAGTGTAGACCAGGGCTACATTTATGGGAGATAATGTTGCCTGCTTATTTACAATGTCACCTTAATATGAGAACAGGCATTCGCATGGCACTGTAGCAGCCGGCATTGCAAAGTATTTATGTGCCAGATATGCTAAACATTTGTATGCCCCTTCATACTTCGGCCACCATTCCATGGGACATGCTTCCGTGCTGACAATGCTCGTTAAAATAATAATGCGTTGAAGTTGTGACTGAACTCCTTGGGGGAGAACTGTATTTCTTCTGCTCTGTGGTTTTATCTGCATCTGCCATATATTTCATGTGATGGCAGTCTCAGATGATGACCTAGCATATGTTGTTCGATTTAAGAACACTTTCACTGCAAGTTTCACAAAACACGAAGAAGGTACCAATGTGAGATTTCTAAAGTTAGTTATAGCACATGAACCAAGGTTTAAGAATCTGAAGTGCCTTCCATAGTCTCAGAGGGATGAGGTGTGTAACATGCTGTCAAAAGTCTTAAATATGCAAAACTCCGATGCAGAAACTACAGAACCTGAACCACCAAAAAAGAAAATGAACCTTCTGTTGCTGGCATCTGACTCAGATGATGAAAATGAATGTGCATCAGCCCGCACTGCTTTGGATCATTATAGAGCAATACCAGTCATCAGCATAGAAGCATGTCCTCTGCAGTGGTGGTCGAAGCATGAAGGCGCATACGAATGTTTAGCATATCTGGCACGTAAATATCTTGCAACGCTGGCTACCAATAGTGCCATGTGAGTGCCTGTTCTCACTTTCAGGTGACACTGTAAATAAGAAGCAGGCAGCATTATCTCCTGTAAATGTAAATAAATTTGTTTGTCTTAGCGATTGACTGTATAAGAAGTAGGACTGAGTAGACTTGTAGGCTCTAAAGTTTTATATTTGAGTGCAGTTATGAAAAACAATTCTACATTTGTAAGTTGCAATTTCACGATGAAGAGATTGAATTACAGTACTTATGAGGTGACCTGAAAAATACTATTTCTTATGTTTATCTTTTTTACAGTGCAAATATGATAAATAATATAAAGCAAGCACTGTTCATTTGGATTCTGTTGTAATTGAAATCAATATTTGAAAATGTAGAAAACATCCAAAAATATTTAAATAAATTTTTTTCTATTAACAGTGCAATTAAATTTCATGATTAATCATGATTATTTTTTTAAATAGCATGATTAAATCACAATTAAAACAAAATCTCATGATTAATCAAAATTTTTAAAAATCATTTGACAGACAAAAAAAAGACAACGGGATTTGCCAATTCTTGTTATAGCACTCCAGTTAGAGGCTAAAAAAGGTATATCCCTTTTCCAAAGGATACAAGATTTTACTGTAGAGGAAAAAAGTACTTTGAAAGTATGTTTGAAGATTACACCCTTCACTGTAATTAACTACATGCAATTGATTACACAAAGTATAAATACAAAATGTTCTAAGAAATTACTGTTAGTATACTTCCATGTATATCTTTTTTTGGCCTACACATACTCAAAAGATTGGAATATTTGCATTTATCTACAGGATTCAGTGTGCTTTATGTGACAACTATCTTCTTCTGAATAGCACAGTTTCCTCAGTGATTAGTACAGTGGCCACATTCTGCCTTCAGATGCACGTGTGTAGATTTCACTAAAGTCAAGTGGGAGTCAGGTAGAATGCATACCAGCTTAGAGAAACTGACTTTGTAATAAGACAGAAATGCAAACAATTAACCTGTCTCTGAAGGATGCCAGGAGGATTAATGTTTGAAGTGTTCTGAAAATAAAAGTGCTGCACTGAGCTAACTTTTGTCACAGCACTGTTGCATGGCCAATGAGGAAATATGAGGAGTACAGTGGTTGGTGAAGATGCATTGTGTAAGTGATCTTTGGGCATGCGTCAAAATGAGTTACTGTACCGGCCAACATTTTAGGGAAATTAAGCAAAACCCACTCAAAGAGATTGGGCATGTTGCTTCTCTAGAGCATCCACACAATCACTGGCCTGTTGAGTTGGGCCAACTAAAATACATCTCTTGATCTCAAAGGGCTGTCAGTAGGACTCCATTCACAAGCACTAAAAAGTCATTGGAAGTTAGAAAGTAAATCCACAATAAATCATAGTCTTACCTTTGGGTGCTAATTTTAGCATGTCACCAGCACGAAAAGAAATTTCTTCTTCTGAAACAGCAGTGAAGTCATATTCTGCTCTTCCAATTACATGATCATCATCTCCGTTTGCCCAGTTACTAGACGCTATTTCACAGAAGAGTTAAAAAGCAGCATAATCATCTGGATCTTTGAAGTAATTTATAACAGAAACTGAATTTTTCCACAAGTATGCATATACTAAATATAATGGGTCACAGAAACATTTATGTAACACTTTAAATCTTAAAAGTGTTGCACAAATATTTATTCCAGGGCCATACATATATGGCACTATACAACTACCAACATTTTCAGGTGCTTCAAGTTACGCTTCTGAATCCACATTTCAGCCTCTGCACATAAGTGTCCTGGTTTGCAGAATTTTCTATTCCAAGTCACCAGATTGATGGATCGACTGAATAAAGCAAGCAAGCGCCCCAAGTTTTTCCCCCCAGTTCAATAAAGATCATGTTATTAGTATAGTGCTATATTGTAATACCTAGTTGAATCTTGCTGCTAAAGAAGACTTTGCTTCACATAAGAAACCTGATTCTGCAGCTGTATACATATGAAGCAGCTGCAGAACTCAGCCCTAAAATCTTACCTTCCCTAGAAGTAGAACCTCTTTGATAGAGAACTGAATGGATCAATTAACATAGCATCAAAGAGTAGGCTATTTTAATACCTTAATCCCCATCTCCCTGTTTAATTCAGCATTTTTAGGTTATGATTTACTAATTTCTTTGAGGCAAAAACATGAATAGTTTATTCTCTAACTACACTCTCCTCACTTTGCTGATCTCCTTTACCTGTTTCTTCATCACTGTATGTAGAGAGCAGCTTCCAGATGAGATAGGGACCCCCAAGAATAACAGCAAAGAACAAGAAAATGGGCCAGGATTTTGCTGAGTTAGCTGCCCGGTCCTCTGGGCCAATGCGAGCCACAGTTCCTTCACTTTCAGCCCACAAATCCTCATTCTCAGAGCTCTTCCGCAGACCCAGCAGCCGCTGCAGCCGTTTGTAGAGGTATCTTATAGTTCTGACTAATGCAAAAGCTGAAAACACTTTTGTGAAGTGTATTTTGAGTCGGGAGAAGTGATTGGCTACATCCAACACAGCCCTGAAACTGTTATAAACAGCTGAAAAGGTCGCATCCATCATCATACTGACTGAGGCAAATGCATGCACAATACTTTCAATGGATTGAAATGCACCTCTGCTGCTCTCTTCAGCCTGCTGAACAAATCTGCTGGGAGGTAGATCGTCTGTACGAAACCGGTTATAGCCCATACCACCATATCCATAACTGTAAGGGCTGTAGTTTCCATAAAAGGAGTTTCCATATGTGCCATAGCCTGGAGAAAAGGAACTGCTGTACGCAGGTCTGAAATTGCTCAGGCTACTGTTCCCTGCCTGCTGTGATGGTCGTGGCAAAATAGGCGGAGGTACTCGTGTGGGTTGTCCAGGCCTGGTCAGCAGGCTGGCACCCAAATCAGCAGACCTAAATAAATTCAGAGGTTCAAGATCAGTACCCATAATCATTTTATATTAACATTATCCCCAAATCTTCATGAACTGTGGGGGACAAGGGAGCAAAGTCCATGTGACAGAGTCTCTCTCCTGCTAGGGGCCGGGGGGAAAAAGGGGTCTGTGGCAGGGTTCCTGACAGGAAGTCTCAGGGGTCCAGGGCAGAGTCCCTGGGAGGGAGTCTCTCCCACCCCAGTGAGAGGAGGAATGGCGGAGGGGCCCGGGGGCGGGGGAGAGTCTCTCTCCCCCTGCGTGGGGCGGCGGGGCAGGGTCCGCGGGGGGTGTGTGTCTCTCTCCCCCTGCGTGGGGCGGCGGGGCAGGGTCCGCGGGGGGTGTATGTCTCTCTCCCCCTGCGTGGGGCGGCGGGGCAGGGTCCGCGGGGTGGGGGGGGGGGGGTGTCTCACTCCCCCTGCGTGGGGCGGCGGGGCAGGGTCCGCGGGGGGGGGGGGGGGGGTGTCTCACTCCCCCTGCGTGGGGCGGCGGGGCAGGGTCCGCGGGGTGGGGGGGGGGTGGGGTGTCTCACTCCCCCCTGCGTGGGGCGGCGGGGCAGGGTCCGCGGGGTGGGGGGGGGGTGTCTCTCTCCCCCTGCGTGGGGCGGCGGGGCAGGGTCCGCGGGGTGGGGGGGGGTGTCTCTCCCCCTGCGTGGGGCGGCGGGGCAGGGTCCGCGGGGTGGGGGTGGGGGTGTCTCTCCCCCCTGCGTGGGGCGGCGGGGCAGGGTCCGGGGGGTCCCCTCGTGGGGGGGCAGGGGGGGTCCTCCCCCGCGTGGGGCAGGGGCGGGGGGGGGGGGTTCTCTCCCCCTCGTGGGGCGCGGGGCAGGGTCGGGGGGGGGGCCTCCCCCTGCGTGGGGCGGGCAGGGTCGGGGGGAGGGGGGTGTTCTCCCCTGCGTGGGGGCAGGGGGGTGGGGGTGTTCCTCCCCTCTGGGGCGGGCAGGGTCGGGGGTGGGGGGGTTCTTCCCTTGGGGGGCAGGGTCGGGGGGTTCTTCTCTGGGCGGGCAGGGTCGGGGGGGGGGGTCCTCCCCCTCTGGGCGGGCAGGGTCGGGGGGGGGCCCCCCTGGGCAGTGGGGGGGGTCCCCTGTGGGGCAGGTCGGGGCCCCTCTGGGGGAGTGGGGCCCTCTGGGGGGGCATCGGGGGGTCCTTGGGGCAGGGTCGGGGGTCTCCCCCTGGGACGGGCAGGGTGGGGTTCTCTCCCTCTGGGGGGCAGGGTCGCGGGGGGGGTCTCCCCTGCGTGGGGCGGGCAGGGTCCCGGGGGTCCCCTCGTGGGGGCGGGCAGGGTCCGGGGGGGTCCCCTCGTGGGGGGCGGGGCAGGGTGCGGGGGGGGGTCTCTCTCCCCCTGCGTGGGGGCGGGGCAGGGTCGCGGGGGGTCTCTCCCCTGCGTGGGGGCGGGGCAGGGTCGCGGGGGGGGGGGGGGTTCTCTCCCCTCGTGGGGCGGCGGGGCAGGGTGCGGGGGGTGTTCTCTCCCTCGTGGGGGGCGGGGCAGGGTGCGGGGGGGGTGTCTCCCCCCTCGTGGGGCGGCGGGGCAGGGTCGCGGGGGGGTCTCTCCCCCTCGTGGGGCGGCGGGGCAGGGTCGCGGGGTGGGGGGTGTCTCCTCCCCTGCGTGGGGCGCGGGCGGGTCGCGGGGTGGGGGGTCTCTCCCCCTTGGGCGGGGGCAGGGTCGCGGGGTGGGGGGTCCCCTGGGGGGGGGCGGGTCGGGGGGGTCCCCCTCGTGGGGCGGCGGGGCAGGGTCCGCGGGGGGGTCTCTCCCCCGTGGGGCGGCGGGTCGCGGGGGGGGGTCTCTCCCCTCTGGGCCGGGCGGGTCGCGGGGGGTGGTGTCTCTCTCCCCCGTGGGCGCGGGGCGTCCGCGGGGGGGGGTCCCTCCCCCTGCGTGGGGCGGCGGGGCAGGGTCCGCGGGGGGGGGTCCTCTCTCCCCCCGCGTGGGGCGGCGGGGCAGGTCTCTGAGGGTGTATCCCCGGGAAAGGAGGGCGTGCACTCACTGGAAGGCCAGGGCCGCGGTTCCCGCCAGGCGCCGGTTCTCCCAGGGCTTGGGAGGCGGCGGCTGAGACGCCATCTCCCCCGTTCCGGCTCCGCTGCGCCCGCCCGCCCGAGCCGCCCCAGCCGCGCCTGCTCCCCCCCTCCCACCTGATCGCGGCCTTGCCAGGCCTGACAGGGGGAGCGCCGAGCCGCTCATCTGCCGGAGAATGCGGCGGCTCCGGGCCAGGCCGGGCGTGAGGATCAACGTCTCTGGCTGCCGCTGCTCCGGCCTCCCCCAGCTCGGCGGCTCGGCTGTCTTCGCGGTCCGGAGACCTTCCCTCCCCCGGAGGAGGGCTGAGGGCCGCCGGCAGGATTGTCACCGGCGGGTGGAAACGGACACGCGATGCGGAAGAAGCGGCCGCTGCCTCCGCGGAGCCCGGCTGAGCGATGGCGGCGGGCCCGGAACCTTCCTGCCGGGACGCCTGTTTCCGGGGGGACGGGAATGCGCGCGCACGCTGCCCTCTCGGGGGCACGGAGTTCATGGTTCCCCCGGCTTCAAGAAAGGCTCCCGCTCCTCGCGCCGGAGGTAGGAGGCGCCCCTGGCCCCGGCGTAGGGTCCCCCGCTATGGGGAGAGGGAGGGTCTGTCGCTCCCGTGGCCGGCGTTCAGCCCTGTGCTACTGAACGGGGAGGTCCTGTCCTGCGCGGTGCGGGGCCCCGGGGTGCGCTCCCGCTGTCGAGGGGCGCCCCTTGTGTGCCGCCAGCAGCGCTTCCGGGAGGGGGCCTCAGCCCTGCCCGTCGGCTTGTCCTTCAGCGCCCGCCCCCGGGATGGGCACGGCTTGCACCGCCTTCTGGTTGCGCGTACTGATCTTGTGCAGGGCGGGGGCGGGTTAATTCCCTATCGATACACTTATACGTGTGGTCCCCCCCCCCCCCCGTATACCTATGTACACATTGAATGTTTAACTGTTAGTGTTTCCCCTTAATGTCTCCTCTTCGCCTGAAAGAACTCCTAGTGTTCCCTCAAACGGGCGTGCAAATGTCCCCATATGCAGTTGAAAGGGATGGATGCTGTCATAGATTCATAGACTTTAAGGTCAGAAGGGATACTCCTGGGGGAATTCTGCACCACGTGTATGTGCAGCTCTCCTATCCCCCCCCCCCCCCCGATTATTTTGTTTCCCTGCAAAATAATAGATCCCGATAGGGAAGCAAAGGGAAGCCGCCACAGGGCGCCACTCCCTGGTAGCAGGCCTGAGCAGGCATGAAGGTTTGGGTGGGAACAACCAGGAGAGAGTAAATCACCGCTGGTGGGGGAAGCAGGACTCGGGGCAGGCATGTGAGACTCTTTCTCTCTTGCTCACTATCCTGGTGCAGAGGAGCAGGGCCCCAGGGTGTTTCTGGGGCAGGCCCAGCCCTTGCATTCTCCCGTTGGTTCGCCTGCCCTGCAGAGGTGTGATGCTGACACAAGCAGCTGTGGGGAGCCTGAGCTGGGCGAGGGGGGCATCTGTGCCCTCTGAGTTTTGGACCGTAGCTGCTTGCCATGCATGCTCTAGCCCCAGGCATAACTCTTACCTGCAGCAGGATGCTGTCAGTTTCCCTTCTCCAGGAGCTAGCATTTTCTGGCTCTGGCTCTCATGGTCAGGGCCTCTGAGGGTGGGGCAGGCAAGAAAGGGGTCAATCATGGTTGGAGAGGGGAGCACAGGGTCCCCAGTTATGATGAGGGGGAAGAAGCAGAGGGTCCCTGGGGGTGGATGGGAAAAAGTAGAGGGTCCCCAGTGGCGGGGGCGGGTGTGTGTGTTGGAGCCTTGTGGGGACCAGTGGGGTGGGGAAGAGGAGTCAGTCTCCAGGGTAAGGGAGCAGTGATGGTATAGTGCTGTACCCTGACAGAAGAGGCAGTGAGTGTGTGAGGAGCAGCTAAGGGGAGCAATTCCTGGGGCAAGGATCCTGAAGGAGGGGGAACTGAAGAAGGGAGGGGGGTTAGGAGCAGCTAAGTGGGTCTTGGGGTCCATTTGTCCTCAGAGAAGCAAGGAGCACCCTCTCCTTTTCCTAGGAAGAGACTGGGGACAGATCCCACTAAACTAATGCATTCTGTCAACTGATTCATCTGCTCTCTGCCTTCCTCCCCATTTCTCCTACTTTACAGTAACTTGTACTGTTAAGGAAAAGTTAGCACATGTGACTCCATTTTGGTTTGGGGCCCACCATTGTCTAAATGCCAGCACATCATACACCAGGAGGAGTAATCCTTAGATACTGAATCCCTGTGAAAATCCTCCTCCTTGTCTCCAGCCTGCCTTGACTCCCAGTATCTGGTTTTTGTCAGTCTCTAACTCCCTGTCTCTTGGCCTTGATGTGAGGCCTCCCATACTGATAATAAAGGTTACTGATGCATGGCTTTAGGACCATGCTGTGTAATTAACATACTCGTATAGCACGAGGAATGCACCAAGCAGGGATAGGTGGTAGATAAGACAAGGGTTTGTTTATTGGCTAAGGTTTCCCCGGTGCATGAGGGCAACATGCTTTGCTAAAAAGTATATAACCTTTGTATAATCTGTATTCAGGGTCCCCTCCTGGCTAGCGAGGGGGGCACCACGCTCGAGCGAGCGTAATAAACTTAGTGTCTTTTGGGAACTCTGCAGTTGTGGACTTTGTTTATGTGCCTCAGCCTAGATTCGAACTGTGCGTGACCTATCAGGTATAATTCACAGCATTTGTGTGTGTGTCCTACCAGGTGTAATTCGTAGCATTTGTGCGCGTGTCCTATCAGGTATAATTCGCAGCATTTGTGTGCGTGTCCTACCAGGTGTAATTCGTAGCATTTGTGTGCGTGTCCTATCAGGTATAATTCGCAGCAGATGTGTGCGTGTCCTACCAGGTGTAATTCGTAACAGTACCTTGATCCTGCAGTGAGGATCCATGTGGGCACAGGGGTTTCTTTAACGCTCTACTCCTGGGTGAATCTTTATTGTTGTCTGTATTGTTACGGATATACTTGCTGACAGGTATTTTGAAATAAATTACCAAAGTAATTGAAACTAGCATGATTATATTGTGTTATTTTGACAAATAAAATGTGCAGATTTTTTAATTTTTTGGCACACAATTACCCCAGGCATAAAGGGACCATTGTGATGATCTAGTTTGATCCTCCTGCACATTGCAGGCCACAGAACCTCACCCACCCACTCTTGTAATAGACCTGTGACCTCTGGCTGAGTCACTGATGTCCTCCAATCATGATTTAAAGACTTCAAGTTACAGAGATTTGACCATTTATTCTAGCTTAAACCTGTAAGTGACCCAGGCCCCATGCTGCAGAGAAAGGTGAAACCCTCCCAGGATCTCTGCCAATCTGAGCTGAGGGAAAATTCCCTCCTGATCCCAAATATGGGTCAGGCCGCAGCTCTGCAACTGTGTTGCCCATCCGCCCAGAGTGTTGCACCGGTGGCGCGGTGCGCTGAGGCAGCGGGGGAGGGGGAACAGCAGGGGAAGGGCCGGAGACTAACCTCCTGGGCCAGGAGCTCGGGGGCCGGGCAGGAGGGTCTCGCGGGCCGTACATCTCTGGTGTAGACACTGCTTTAAGTCGATGTAAGTGAATAGTAGTATAGCAAATGAAACAATGAATTTGGGGTAATGTCGATCACTAATTTGGCTCCTGAATCACTGAGACCTGACTATCACTGACTTAAATGAATACTTGGAAGTGAGCTGTAGCTCACGAAAGCTTATGCTCAAATAAATTGGTTAGTCTCTAAGGTGCCACAAGTACTCCTTTACTTTGCCTTAATTTTTTATAAAGAAAACAAGGAGCTTAGGGGTAGTGGCGGGCTGGTTAACGAAAATGAGGATATGGAAGTCGAAATTATCACATCCAAGGTGGAAGTCAAACTCAAACAGCTTAATGAACTGCTAATATAGTAACTATTTTTAAGAAAGGGAAAAAAGTGATCTAGGAAACTACAGGCCCGTTAGTTTGACCTCAGTTATACATAAGGTTTAGAACAAATTTTAAAAGAGAAAGTAGTAAAGGTAAACAGTAATCGGGGTGAAATACAACGTGGCTTTACAAAAGATAGGTCGTGCTAGTCCAACCTTTATATCTATCTTTGAGAAGATAACTGATTTTTTAGACAAAAGCAGTGCAGTAGACCTAATCTACCTGGATTTCAGTAAGGCATTTGAAACTCTTCCATTTGTGAAATTATTAGTGAAATTGGAGAAGATGGGGATTAATATGAGAATTTTAAAAGTTAATAAGGAACTGGTTAAAGAGGCAACAACAACGGGTGATACTGAAAGGTGAACTATCAGGCTGGAGGGAAGTTACTAGTGGAGTTCCTCAGGGATTGGTCTTGAGACCAATCTTATTTAACATTTTCATTAATGACTTGAGACAAAAAGTGGGAATGTGCTAATAAAATTTGCAGATGACACAGAGTTGGGAGGTATTGCCAATATGGAGGAGGACCGGAATATCATACAAGAAGATTTAGATGACCTTGAGCAATAAAAATGGGATGCAATTAAAAAAATGCAAAGTGTAAGATCATGCATTTAGGGACTATCCAAAAGAATGTTTTCTATAAGCTTGGGGACGTATCAGTTGGAACTGACAGAAGAGAAAGACAGACCTGGGGGTATTGCTTAATCACAGAATGACTGTGTGCCTCCAGTACGATGTGGCCATGAAAAAGGTTAATGCAGTCCTAGACGCATCAGGGAAGGTATTTCCACTAAAGATAAGGAAGTGCTATTACAATTCTACCAGGCACTAGTGAGCCCTCATCTGAAATACTATGTGCAGTTCTGATCTGCCATGTTTAAGAAACATGAATTCAAACTGGAACAAGTGCAGAGAAGGGCTAATAGGACAATCAGAGGAATGTAAAACCTGCCTTGCGAGAGAAGACTCAAGGAGCTGAGCTTGTTTAGCCTAATGAGACAAAGGCTGAGGGGAGATATGATTGCTCTCTATATATACACATCAGAGGGATAATTCCTCTCCCTCCCTGGTATTTATTTAAGTTAAGGGCCAATGCTGGCACTAGAACAAATGGATACTAACTGGCCATCAACAAGTGTAGGTTTCAAATTAGATGAAGGTTTCTAATCATCAGAGTAGTGAAGTCCTGGAACAGTCTTCCAGGGGAAGCAGTGG